TGGGGAAGAAACAGTAGAACTGCTAGTTTTTGGGGAAGAAACAGTAGAGCTGGTGATATTTGTTTTATCGTCTTGTCGATCGCTTTCTTTTCCATCTTTATCCTTATAAGTGATTGAAGTCATATTATATTTTTCATCAGTACTACGCCTCACTCGACTGGTACCTGAACATTTGAGCATCATTGAATTGATTAGTTCTGCGGAAATATTATATGAACCATTTGTCGGTTCCACAGCTTTCTCATTACCATTGCACATTGTCAAGTTAACGTTAATTTCTTCGGTTGGTATCTCTCCAGTGACTTCGGTTATCTTGAAATTGGGTGGACTATCACCTTCCAGAATGACGGTAGCTTCGTTCGAGATGTTCTCAGTTACTTGGGGCGATCCGTTTGCTTGTGCTGCATCTGGTATGTTTGCAATCAGCGGTCCATTCGCGAACAGATTGCCTGAAAATGTTTTGTTCCATTCTCCTAAATTTTATTTTAATCTTTGCATTCATCTGAACATTATCTCACTTTCCGGTTTACAACGAGGTGGTGGTGCAAACGTTCTTTCGTTCGCTGTGTAAATGAAAAATGCTGTTTGGTCGCGTGTTGTTGTTATCACAGGGTTCATTTGGTTTGCATAGGAGGTTCGTGTCATCTCTGCAGGCATTCTTGCATAGGAAAGGATTCGTGCGGTAAATTTTCGGATTATTAAGAATATCTCTGCCTTGTTGTTTTTGTAATTTTTGCAGCTTACTCGGTATATTCTTTTCCTCAAAATAATTTCTTCTTTGCTTTGATCTGTCTATCAATGATTAATTTCAAGTATAACTGCTGTAAATGAAGAACGTTCCAATTAACGCAAAGTTTTACGTCTTGATAGCGTGAGAAATCCTAGCTTTTTATATAAGTATCAACACGAGATTCTTTCATGCTGTCATTATTTGAGTTTCAGAATACATTGAACCACTCTACCCTTGCAGCAAATGGGTATGAACTGTTTTCGAAATGTAACAAAATCATGCTGAAAAACTCCACCGTTGAAGTGACTGAATCCAGTAACTCAAGCATAATCCGCAAAGCATCCGAGTAAACGAAGTAAACGAATCCAATAGCTCAAGCGTAATGCGTAAAGCATCCGATCGGAAAAGGGGTTGACTGTTCTTTCACGATCCACTGCTGCTCTTTAATTGCTTCATATACATTCTTATTGGAATGAACAGTTCCTATTTTATTTTCTTCCCATTCGTGATATTGATGATTTGTGGAAAATAATATAGGATAAAGTTATTGGAAGGATAAAGGTAAACTAAAAGCAATAATACTTCTGCGAATTAGGGCCCCACTGAATAATATCATACTAATTGCGAGCTTTTGTGATCTCAGCAAGAGGTATGAAACAAGTTTATCCATGTTCCTGATTTTATTATATGATTCTGTGGTAAGTGAGAAAACATTGTTTTAAAACGACGAGAATACAACATTACTGCAGAACTGTTTTCCCCGCAAAACATGATTTCAGCATATCTTTCAGGTTAGATGAATGCGACAAATGTTTTTAGACGAACTCAACTATTTCATTCAATCATTTCTGATTAGACGGTCACGAGCATGACACATGACCTACGTTTGAACGCTGCATTCAGATCTCAGATGCACTCATATAAGGAAGTTAAACGTGTTGCGCTCAATGAAAGTTAGGTACATAAGCCAGCCAGGAAATAAACTGACAATTTTCATATATTGAAAAGCAATCACTCAACCGGCATTCGCCTACGAATGGTTGGTACAAATAATACAGCATGGAAGTGTTTTCTTGCTTTATCGCATGAATCCGAGAACTAATAGGTGGTGATTTTCACGGGATAAACGTTTAGAGGTGATTATGGAGATATATAAAATTACGTCCAGTCCGTGAATAAGTTAACGAAAAGCACTGTGCACAAAATGCAAAAGCTGACCTGAACATAAGTTAATGATGAATAATCCGATCAATAGTGGTTTCATTTTGGTTGCTGATTCGAATTCGGGATACTGAAAATTAGTAATCATTGGGATTGTCAATCATGATGAATTTTTACTGCGTCTTTCATGTTCTTCGCAAGATCTTTGTCTTTAGAGGAATTCGTAACTCGGAGAATCAACTGATTTTGCTTCATTGGATCGAACCTTATTTCATTTTCATTTGCGAAGCGTTCGTGACCCATAGTGTGGTATGAATAATATATGGAAAGGGATTTGGAACCCCAGATTAATCGACAAACATAAAATGTGGTTGAAATCCTATAGAGATACTGCAGATCCTACGATTGATATCTTTTATTAACTTTTATCAAATTCTTGGATTAACTACCAGGGAGATTTGTCCTGTCAATTTTCCTAAACTACGCCACTGCGGAGATGTGTCGCTGAAAGAATGAATGACATTGGAATGAAGAACTTGAAAATTATGTAAAACGGGCAATGAACCCTAAACAGCTTCATAAACTTGCCTATGTTGAATTGACTGGTGAGCGATGCGAATGTAAACTAATGAAGGAGTCAGTTATATACGTTAGATTGTTGAGATTTTAAGAAGGGAAAAGTGGGCAAAAATGTTTAGATGAGTGAGTGATAAGCGTTTAATGCTTTTTTGGTGCCCGAAGAATACTGAATCGCGATAAAACTACGCCCCGACGACGAGCGTTTAAAACTGTTATGTATGTGTACAAAATAAGCCAATCTGTTACTTATGGACACCATCAAAGTGACTGATTATAATCTCCTATCACAATGTTTCTCAGCTAAAACGATAGTCAGATGACTGCCTAAGCAGCAGCAAATTTTTGGTTTACGGTTTTTGGTTTCAATTAAATAATCTGATGAGGAGTCTCCTAAGACAACGTCAAGAGACGGTGAATTAAAAAATTTCAAACTTAACGCTCTCCAATGATTTTGTATCCTTGAAGCTTAATAGCTTTGCAAGCAAAAATATATCGAGTCCACTGATGTAATAGCGCGGGTTCATTGCTCGTTGTTGACTGATATCAGTATGAAGATCAACGAACTGATCTCACATCCAATGTGTGATAAATTTCACCAATTAAGGCGACATTTATTGTTAGCACTCGATTTTTCTTTCTCGGTTTCTGCATTTAGGGCTCTCCATGGCGAAAAAAGGAAGATTTTGTATCACTATATTACGGTTTGGAGTTTCTTCTGATTTACCGACACCGTTTTGAGGCTGAGTTCCTCATCTTCATAGAAGTGGGAATCGCATTGATGGCTGCTGGCTCATAACCGCATATATTTGATAATGTCGATTATATCCTGAACCAGGTAACAACAAGTCGAGAATGATGAGCAGATGTAATTGATGA